CAGTCACATATTGGAGATTTGTACATTGGAGTGAATGTTGATCATGAAGTGTCATGTTTGTATGATGATCCATCCAAATGAACTGATTTAAGCTAACCATGCATAAATGATTCATCAAATCATGCAAATGAATGATTCGTTTTGGATAATCATCCAAATGAACAAATTTGTTTCGGTAAATCATCCCAATGAATCAATTTGTTTAAAGTGAACTCTCCAAATTAGCTTATTTATTTAAGTGAACCATACAAACAATCCGATTCACTTAAGTGAACCATCCAAATGAGCTGATTCATTATAAGTGAACATTCCAAGGGAAAGGATTAATTTAAAGGCACAGTATGTCATTTTCGCCGCTAGAGGGCGCATGTTTAAAACAAACAAAGAAACAAAGGCGTAGTTTGATGATGCCGTGACTGAGTGTGGAATCATGGGAGTTGTGGTCTTCATCTCCACAGTCAATGCAATCCGACGGGACTCGGGCAGAAATCATGTTCATGGATGAGCTAATGATTTATTAACGTAGTAGAATGAAGCAGGGTGAGGCTGAAAGCCGTCGAAGCGAAACGAGGCACTGAACGAACGTGACACACGGCTGGAAAGCAGCGGAGCTTTTATTATGCCGCAGTCGAGCGCTTCCGCTGCTTCCGGTCATGCGTATGTGGGGTAAAGCAGCTGTTTTATCATACTAGATACAATACTGCGTTTCCTAAAAGCTTCGTAAGCCTAAGTAGATCATAGACCCATTGCCACTAGGGATATGCCGGTATCAAATTTTCATGTTGCGATTGTAGTCCAGATTAAAATGTAAAAAAAGTTTGAAAATAAATAGCCTATTAAGTCTAAATATTTAAGTATTTGGTGCTGTGATGAACATCATAGCAAATACACAAATCTGAATTGCTGTTTAAATAATTTAAACACGATTCAGAAACAGAAAGTAGTGCAGCTGCTTTGTTTACAGGGTTTCCGGGGTAACGGCTGCATTTAAATGAATTATTATTATTATTATTATTATTTCTGCAGTTTATCGCCATCTGCTGTCAGAGAGTGAAAGTGCGCTTTCATCCAGAGCGTCTCTCACGTTCCGCTATGTGCTTCTCGTCCGCGCTTGTTTACATCAGAGTGCGCACGCGTCTTTCACGCAGCATACAGCGGTGTTGTGCATTTTGACCAGTTGATGGGAAAAGTATTCTTAAAATGCATTCAAAATTCTGAATAACTTGTAATATATAATTATTCACAGTATTTAGAAGTGCCCACGATAACAATATCGTGCATATTCATTACCGTGATATATCGCATTACCGAATACCGGCACAAGTCTAATTGCCACCAAACAATGCAATGCTTTTGGGAAACGCAGCCCAGACGTGAACCATTCAAAGGAAGAGATTAATTTAAGTGAACCATCAAAATTAATCATTTAGATTTTCAGATTAATTTAAGGGAAAAGTCCCTCAAAAAATAAGCCAGTTGATTAAAGTGAAGAGTCCGAGTGATCATGAAGATTGTGCTTCAGAGTTAAAGCTGTAGCGTGTGTGTCTGCGTTGTATGTCACATGTTCACGTGTCTTGCGTGTTTGTATGTAGGTTAATGTTGTAAAGTCAAGTCGCTCCGTTGGCCTCATTTCTCAGTCTTTTTGTGTTCGCTGTAAAACATGTACGTCTCAGTAAATCTCCATCATCGCGCAGCTGTATGTGCACTAAAACTAAGCTGATTTCTTATCTTCATCTGTTCGTTTGAGCTCAGTATTTTCAGAAATGAGCTGTTGCGTGTGACTGTGATTGTTGCTCCTCACAGGCTGTTATTAGCATGACAAACATGTCAAGTGTCTGTCGTTTGAGTTTGTTTTATTAAAATCAATCATTTAACAGCATAAACAAAAAAACGTTTGATGAGATGCTGGTTTACGGCTCATTTCTGAACTGTTGAACCATAACCTACTAAATATACAGAATATTAATCTACAGGAACCTCTGATCAGGAGTAAATATGCTAAATAAAAAATTTAAATAAAACAGATGTCAAATTTTCCAGTTTGATATGTATGTATGGATGTATTTATTTGTTTAATATTTTTGGATGCAGGTCCTAAATATTATTTACATATTTAAATATACAAATTTTATTTCATTTATTTGTTGTTTTTTCTGTCAATTTACTTTATTTCTGCCAGTATTATTGTTAACTAAAACTCATAAAAATACTTTTCGTTAACTGAAAGCTGAAATGAATATGAATATTAGATGAAAGTCTAAAAACTTAAAAAACTTAGCTAGAAATTAATTATAAGTTAGAAATGTTGCCTTGGCAATTAACTAGAATTAAATATGTTTAACTTGAAGTACTAAAATCACTGAAACTAAAACAATTTAAAAACAATTTAAAGCTAAATAGAAATATTAAAATAAACAACACATTGTTTTATAATGTTATAAAACAAAATTACTAAAGCTAAAATTAAAATGAGAATTGAAAATATAAAAATGTAAAGCTAATTCAAAATAATAATAATAAATGCTATAATAATATATTAAAAATAATACTGATTGTCGTTGAGTTAAAAAAATCTAAAATACATCAACTGTATCAAGATAAACTGAAATATTGTCATATTATTTTGACCTGCTATTATTATTATTATTATTATATTATAATACCTGCAGGTATTTTATGACCTGCTAGTTAAGTCCTGCACTAGTTGACGTGGGTTCACTGCAGTCTGAATGTGTTCAGTGTCTCTGACTGGTTCTTGTTATGAGTGACGGTTCGGGTTTGAATACTTGCATTAATGTGCCTAATTTGTGTCTAATTAACATGTTTGTTTGTGTTGGTTAGTGTAGTGTTGTTTCTCTTTGTGTGTGTGTGTGTGTGTGCGTGTGTGTGTTTGTGAGAGTGTGTGTGTGTGTGTGTGTTTGTGTGTGTGTGTGAGTGTGTGAGTGTGTGAGTGTGTGAGTGTGTGAGTGTGTGAGTGTGTGAGTGTGTGAGTGTGTGAGTGTGTGAGTGTGTGAGTGTGTGAGTGTGTGAGTGTGTGAGTGTGTGAGTGTGTGAGTGTGTGAGTGTGTGAGTGTGTGAGTGTGTGAGTGTGTGAGTGTGTGAGTGTGTGAGTGTGTGAGTGTGTGAGTGTGTGAGTGTGTGAGTGTGTGAGTGTGTGAGTGTGTGAGTGTGTGAGTGTGTGAGTGTGTGAGTGTGTGAGTGTGTGAGTGTGTGAGTGTGTGAGTGTGTGAGTGTGTGAGTGTGTGAGTGTGTGAGTGTGTGAGTGTGTGAGTGTGTGAGTGTGTGAGTGTGTGAGTGTGTGAGTGTGTGAGTGTGTGAGTGTGTGAGTGTGTGAGTGTGTGAGTGTGTGAGTGTGTGAGTGTGTGAGTGTGTGAGTGTGTGAGTGTGTGAGTGTGTGAGTGTGTGAGTGTGTGAGTGTGTGAGTGTGTGAGTGTGTGAGTGTGTGAGTGTGTGAGTGTGTGAGTGTGTGAGTGTGTGAGTGTGTGAGTGTGTGAGTGTGTGAGTGTGTGAGTGTGTGAGTGTGTGAGTGTGTGAGTGTGTGAGTGTGTGAGTGTGTGTGTGTGTGTGTGTGTGTGATTTGATTGAGTGTATTCTGTGCTGTTTGTGTTGTAAACAGCTCTGCGCTCACGCTGCACGGTTCCCAGCATTTCTTTCTCTGTGTTTGGACTGCTGTCCTGGACCCGGATCAGATGTTTATTGGCAGGCGCTCGGAGCGGAGGATTAATGCCGTTTATTTGCGTCCTGGTGGATTGGATGAGTGTTCAGTCAATTAGCGATCACTGTTACATTGTGCTGAAAGAAACGCTGCTCGTTAGTCAAAACCGTGTTAGGAAGTTACTGTGAAACTGTGCTTAGTCAAACTACAAGATATTCAGCATTTACATTAGCTAAAGTACAGTCAAACTACACTAAACTAACAACAAAAAGTAGCTAACAACACTGAAGCACAATGACTGAATCAGTAAATCATTTATGAACCAATTATTTTTGTCCAAATGAATGGATCCATTTAAGTGAATCATCCAAATGAACAGATTAATTTACGTGAACCATCTAATTTAACCAATTCGTAAGTGAACTATCTAAATTAACAAATTTCATGAACCATTTAAATAAACAGATTCATTTAAGTGAACCATCCAAATGAAGGGATTTTTATTTAAGTGAATAAACCAAATGAATGGATTTATGTGGATGGTTCACTTAAATGAATTGGTTCATTTGAATGGTTCACTTTAATGAATCCTTTCATTTGGATGGTTGACTCAAATAAATGCATTAATTTGGATGATTCACATAAATCATGGTTTTGATTGTTCACCTAAATGGATGATTCACACTTTAAATGAATCAGTTTAGTTGGACTTTTCACTCAAGTGAATCTGTTAATTTGAATGGTTCACTCAAATCCATTCATTGGATGATTCACTGAAACGAATCTGTTAATTTGGATGGTTCACTTAACGGAATCATTCATTTGGACAATTCGCTTAAATTAATCTGTTCATGTGGACCATTTACCTAAATTAATTCATACATTGGGACGGTTCACTTTAAATGAATTTGTTTATTTAGAAAAGTTCACTTAAAAGAGCCCATTCATTAAATTTATTTAAGTGAATCATGCAATTGAACAATAAATTTTGGTAAATCATCCAAATGGGCCAATTCTTTTAAGTGAGCCATCTAAATGAACTGATTCACATAAGTGAACTATCCAAGAGAACCAATTCATTTAAGAGAACAATTAAAATAAACAAATTAATTTAAGTGAACCATGCGAAAGTACTGATTAACTTAAGTGAACCATCCAACTGAACCGATTCATTTAAGTGAACCATCACAATGAACCGATTAATTGTAAATAAAATATTAAAATTAAAATAAGTTCTTTCTGTGACCTTTTCCTTCAAGTTAGTATTGTTGCTGTTTTAAGTAGCCTATATTACTCTGCTAAAGATATGCTGAATGATTCCAGTGATTCCTCTGTGTCCCTGTAGATGGCGTTCACTCAGTGTCGGCTCAGTGTCTGCTGCAGGTCACCATCATCACGGACGAGATGCTCTCCAACAGCATCACGCTGCGATTGGCCGACACGTCGCAGGGGCGCTTCCTCTCGCTCCTATTGGCTCAGTTCCTGGAGGGCGTGGCCCGCGTTCTCTCGGCGTCCCGTGAGGATGTGGTGGTCTTCAACATCCAGGACGACACTGATGTCAATGCCGGCATCCTGAACGTCAGCCTGTCAGTGGCAGTTCCAGGCGAGGGGTCGCGGGGTCATGGGGTCAGCCCGGCCCGGCTGGGTCGCAGCAGCGGAGGCGAGGTGGAGTTCTTCGGGTCGGAGGAGCTGCAGGAGCGCCTGTATCTGAACCGAAGTCTGCTGGCGCAGATCTCCTCGCAGGAGGTGCTCCCGTTTGACGACAACATCTGCCTGCGGGAGCCATGCGAGAACTACATGAAGTGCGTGTCCGTGCTGAAGTTCGACAGCCTGGCGCCGTTCGTGGCGTCCGACACCATCCTGTTCCGGCCGATCCACCCGATCGCAGGGCTGCGCTGCCGCTGTCCGCTCGGCTTCACGGGCGACTACTGCGAGACGGAGATCGACCTGTGCTATTCCAAACCCTGCGGCGCTCACGGCGTCTGCTGCAGCCACGAGGGAGGCTTCACCTGCCAGTGTCTCCACGACTACACAGGTGAGAGGGGCAGAGCCTCCACACGCAAACACGCCCACATCCCTCTCTCATATTCTGATTAAACTCACGCTGATGAAATATTCATGTTATTCTCATAAGAGCGCAATGAAAAGTTAATGAGGAATCACATTTATGAAGTATTTTAAGATGTGCGTATGGGGGTCATAACATCTGTCTCTGCGTGAGAAGCCCCTGCAGGTGTGTTTTGATTGCTTTGGTGCTCAGAACGGTATGAAGAGAAATGGCTTTATATTTCAGTCACATATTCAGACGTTACAGTTTCTCTCAGAACTGAGTTCAGCTCACGACCCGTTTGATCACAGAGAATAATAGATGATAAGAGATGACATGACATTGAGATCATCAGCGATGAGATGAGAAATGTGACAGTCAGAGATGAGATGGAATGAGTTAAAGGAATAGTTCACCCAAAAATGAAAATTACCCCATGATTTACTCACCCTCAAGCCATCCTAGGTGTAAGATGTTCTTTAAGATGTTATGAGGTCAGATAAACAGAGATGAGATATTATGAACAGGGATATGTGATAATCAGAAATACAATTTGATTATCTGAGATATGATTATCAGAGATGAGATGTGATCATTATATGCAATGTGATAGTCAGAGACATGATGTTACAATCAGAGATGCTGTGATAATCTGATGAGATGTTATTGTCATAAGATATTACGAGGTAAAATAAAATGATCAGAGATGAGATGTGATAATCAGATGAGATTAGATGATTTTCAGATTAAATGGATTAGGTAAAATATTATGAGACAAAACAAGACGATCAGAAATTAGATGTTATTGATTAGGGACAAAATGTGATAATCAAATGAAATGTAATGAGGTAAAATGAGATGATAAGAGATAACATGATTAGGGATGAGATGTGATAATCAAATGCAATGTGATGGTCAGAGATAAGATGTTACAATCAGATATGAAAATGCTAATCAGATATCAGATGTGATTATCAGATGAGATGTTATGGTCAGGGATGAGATGTGATATTCAGATGAAATGTTATGATCATGGATGAGATGATGAGGCATAGTGACTTGACATTAAGTAGGATAACCAAAGATAAGATGTGATTGTCAGAAATGAGAGGTGATAAACAGAATTTAGATGTTATGAGAGATGAGATGTGATGTGATGAGGTAAGACTTAATGAAGTGAGAAAAGTGGATCAGAGATGAGGTGTTACGTGATGAGATGTTATGATCAGGGATGACATGAAGCAAGATTGCATGACATGATTAGAGATGTGATGTTAAAAACTGAGATGTGATGATCAGATTTAGATGTTCAGGATGATCAGGGATGAAGCGAGGTGACCCGAGACCATATGTGATGATGTTATTAGGTGAATGGAGACAATCAGAGAAAAGATCAAATGAGATGTGATGAGAGGAGATGTGATGAGTAGAGTTGAGCACTGCAAATCTTGTTAGCTCCTGTGATAAATGATCTGTGATGTTCCTCGTTTGTGAGTCACTTTGGGTAAAAGTATCTGCTACATGAATAAATGTAAATGTAAATGAGATGATGAGAGCTGTGATGTGAGCAGCCATGTGCTCTAAACTGCTCTCCAGTCAGAGATTTGCTCCTGTCAGAGATGTAATGACAGAGATCAGAGGTAGTTCTGTGATTTTAATCATCTATGATCTGATGGATTTGTGCTGCGCCACAGTGAAAGAACATGTTTGTCTTCAGGCAGTCGTCTTATGAACACGGTTCACAGAAGTCATCAGCTCCTGTGATTTGCTCTAAATGTAATATAATAGATGAAGTGTGTTGTACAGCTCTTTTAACATGATGTGTGTCGCAGCCCACATTTTATCATTACATAAGATCTGCGCTCTGTGTGTGTGTGGGCCGCTTTACATAAGAGTGTTGTGTAGGTGTGTGCAGGTGTGTGGGAGCTTCAGTGTGTGTTTGTAGAGGACTGGAGTGTATTAAAAGCACTATGAACTGTCTCTCTCTCTCTGGTTCTGTCTGTGTTTCTGGCTCCTGCTGTTCTGCCAGCTGCTCCTCCTCTTGAGTGTGTGTGTGTGTGTGTGTGTGTGTGTGTGCTGAACATGAGTGTTATTTAACATGTTTGTGAGCAGCGTGTTGGACTCATCTCTCATCTCTCATGAGATCTGTTCATTTTGATAAGATGAATCATTCATACCGCTGCTAGAGAGAGAGAGAGAGAGAAACAGGCGGAGTAAAAGCCATGTTAATAATTGATGTGATCTCAGCAAACACTCAACACACTGAACTGATGTGACGATGAACTTCAGTAGCTGTTCGTTTAGGTCATGAATCACAATCAGCAGTGATAATGTATTTTAAGCTGTAAGTAGTGCTGGATTATGACCACAATGAGTGAGTGAGATAATAATCACACATCTCATTCCAGGCGATTCATTGTAGTGAATCACTTCAAACGAACAGTTCAAAATGATTCATTTGAATCATCGCTCAACAGTGAACCCAGTACGTCCTGTACAGCATTTTATCTTTTTACAATGAACATTTATTCAACATGAAATCAGTATTGACTAATTTCTTAACGCAATCTTGCTCTTAAAGTCAGTGATTTGTTAGTGACAAATCATGCCATTCATGCTATTCGTGTTCAATATGTTCAGTTCAGGTAGATCAGCTGATCATTTTGTATGGACAGTTAAAATGATTCATTTGAATCATAGCTCAACAGTGAACCCTGTATGTTTTTTTGCAATGAATGTTTAGTCAAAATGAATCAATACTGAGTTTTAACACATGTTCCTGGTCTTATTGTGAGTGATTCGCCAGTGATGTTATTCACACTGAATACTGCTGTTTAATGTGTTCAGTTCAGTTAGATAAGTTGATTCTAGTTTTATTAGTCTCACACACACACCCATAGAATGTCTCTGACTCAAGATTCATTATAGTCAATCATTTTGTATGAACAGTTAAAATGATTAATTTGAATCATTGCTCAACTATGAACCCAGTGTAATGCCAGTATGATCAAGATGAGTCAAAATGTGCTTTGATTCAGTCATAAAAACTTATATGTTCAAGTTACAACTTGAATAATAAGTTAATTAAATGAGTTGATAATTATATGTGAAACAAAGATTCTGCCACTTTAAATAGCTAGCTAAATTTTCTAAGTAGTTTGTAATGTAGCTAGTAAACTATTTTTCCAGAGAAGTACTATCGTTTGACAGACGCCGGTTTCTCGTCACTGAGCTTGTAATTGAACAAGGAGCTTAAACATGAGTCGGGTCATTAGTCACTTGATAATGGCTGTAAACGAGGGTTTAACGAGGCTGACCCTGAACCGACTGTGAGTGCTGGTTGGTTGAGGATTGTCAGGTTCACGCTGAACTTCTCGGAGGATCATGTCGAGTGTGTGTATGAATATGGATGAGCTCTTTGATGTGAAGCTCGTATTTAAAGCTCTGACCTCGTTTCCCATCAAAGACCTTCTGAGAGAATCCAACACACACCGCATCAATATTTCATCACGCGCCGAACCGGCCGCAAACCCAGGGAATGTGTGTGTAAACAGGAAGATGGAGCGACTGGCACGCACACAAATGTTTCCGTTATGATGAGCGTGACGAATCGTCTTTTGTGTGTCGAACAGTGTCGCCTTTGTTTTCACACACACACACGCACTCACTCACTCACTCACTCACACACACACGCACACACACTCACACACACACACCCACACACACATGTTGTGTTTCCATGTTTTATGGGGACATTCCATAGGCGTAATGGTTTTTATACTGTACAAACTGTATGTGCTATTGCCCTACACCAACCCTACCCCTAAACCTACCCCTCACAGGAAACTTTGTGCATTTTTACTTTCTCAAAAAAACTCATTCTGTATGATTTATAAGCTTGTTTCCTCATGGGGACCTCAAAAATGTCCCCACAAGGTCAAAATTTACTAGTATTGCTATCCTTGTGGGGACATTTGGTCCCCATAACGTGATAAATACCAGGTACACACACACACACACACACTGACACACACTCACACACACACTCACACACACACACACAGTCTTCCTCATGTTCATCTTCCTCTGTCTTCACTATATGTCTGTATTTTTACCTCCATCCATAAGAAAGAAAAATCACAAGTGAAATCTCTTAAATATCTCAGTTTTTTTATCTTAAAATGTTGAGAAAAAAATCTAATTGAGAATTTTGCTGAAGCATCTTAAAGGGATAGTTCACCCAAAAATGAAAATGTGATGTTTATCTGCTTACCCCCAGGGTATCCAAGATGTAGGTGACTTTGTTTCTTCAGTAGAACACAATCAAAGATTTTTAACTCAAACCGTTGCAGTCTGTAAGTCATATAATGGAAGTGAATGGGAATAACGGCTTTGAGAGTAAAAAAAACATACACAAACAAAACCAAATTAAACCCTGCGGCTCGTGACGATACATTGATGTGTAAAGACACAAAACGATCGGTCTGTGCAAGAAACTGAACAGTATTTATATCGTTTTTTACCTCTGATTCACCGCAATGTCTGAACTGTCCTGAGCGCGTTCTCATCTTCTTCTTCTTCTTGCTTTACGGCGGATCGCAGACTTATAAGTGCATTACCGCCACCTATCTCTCAAATGGACCATTGACACTCCCAATTGAGATTGTAGATAGAGTGTCTTCTGTCTTCAGTTTCTTGCACAGACCGATCGTTTCGTGTCTTTACACATCAATGTATCGTCACAAGCCGCAGGGTTTAATTTGGTTTTGTTTGTGTATGTTTTTTTTACTCTCAAAGCTGTGATTCCCATTCACTTCCATTATAAGACTGACAGACTGCAACGGTTTGACTTAAAAATCTTTGATTGTGTTCTACTGAAGAAACAAAGTCAAAAAAAGTTGGATGCCCTGGGGGTAAGCAGATAAACATGAAATTTTCATTTTTGGGTGAACTATCCCTTTAATGTTTCTCATGAGAAAAAGACTAAATATCATTAAAACAGTCATACTGATCACAGCAGGACAGAAAAATCGCGACTGAGATCTCTTTAATATCTCAGTTGTTTTTCCTCAAAAGTAATGAGATGAAATCAAGATCAAATTGAGAAATTTGTTGAAGTATCTTGATGTTTCTCCTGAGAAAAAGACTTATGTTGGTGTGTTTGATTTATTGTGTGTGTTAAATAGTTTTTTTTATGACATTGATCCCCACAGGAAAGCAAAATCACAAACGAGATCTCATTAATGTCTCGATTGTTTCTCCAGGAGATGAAATCGATATTTGTAAAGTCTCTGACGGCTCATATGTTTCTCCTGAGAGAAAGAGCTCATCAACACGTGTCTCCTCTAGAGTTTCAGAAGAGATCTCAACTATGTCTCAAACTGTGCTCAGATTTGTTCAAGATCTCAAAGTCTCAATCAAAAGCCAGAGATCTCAAACATTTCTCACCAAATGATCACTATTCTGTATACTAATGATCTCTTTAATGTCTCGATTGTTTCTCTGGGAGAGAAAAAATCGATATTCATAAAGTCTCTGGCTTCTCATTTGTTTCTCCTGAGAAAAAGAAATCTCAGATGTGTCTCCTCTAGAGTTCTAGAAGAAATCTCAACAATGTCTCAAACTGTGCTCAGATTTGCTCCCAAAGTCTCGATCAAAAGTCTGAGATCTCAATCTGAGCTCAGACATTTCTCACAAATTATCTCTATACTCTTACTGGATGATGACTAGTGACTCATTTGGGTCTCTTTTAGTAGAAACGTCTGAGACAAAGCTGAAACTTCAATGAAACATAACTGAGACTTCTATGAAGTGAGCTGTGAAAGATCAGCAATAGAGCAATAAAATGTGTTTGTGTTTCAAACTAGACTGATAAACTATTTCTCTCTGTCAGTCAGGTGAGTGATGTGAGATCTCATTGCGATCGGCCGCTGTGCAAACATCTTAAACGAGATCTCTTTAATGTCTCGATTGTTTCTCCTTGAGATGAAAACGATATTCGGAATGTCTCTGGCTTCTCATATGTTTCTCCCGAGAATAAGCCCATTTGTTTCAAACATGTCTCCTCTAGAATTTCAGAAGAGATCTCAACTATGTCTCAAACTGTGCTCAGATTTGCTCCGAAAGTCTCAATCAAATGTCAGAGATCTCAAACATTACATTCTCAAACATGATGACTAGTGCCTCATTTAGGCCTGTTTTAGGAGAAACATCTGAGACAAAGTTGATACTTCAATGAAACGTAAATGAGACCTCTGTGAAGCAAGATTTGAAAGAGCAACAAGAGCAATAAAATATGTGTTTGTGTGTTTAAACTAGACTGCTAAATTGTTTGTGTCTGTTCGTCATGTGAGTGCTGTTAGATCTCGCCACGCTCCGGCCACTGTGCTAAAATCTCAAACAAGATCTCTTTAATGTCTCTATTGTTTCTCCAGGAGATGAAATCGCTATTCATAGTCTCATATGTTCGAACTCAAACATTTCTCACCAAATGATCTCTATACTCTTACTGGATGATGACTAGTGCCTCATTTAGGCCTGTTTTAGGAGAAACATCTGAGACAAAGTTGATACTTCAATGAAACGTAAATGAGACCTCTGTGAAGCAAGATTTGAAAGAGCAACAAGAGCAATAAAATATGTGTTTGTGTGTTTAAACTAGACTGCTAAATTGTTTGTGTCTGTTCGTCATGTGAGTGCTGTTAGATCTCGCCACGCTCCGGCCACTGTGCTAAAATCTCAAACAAGATCTCTTTAATGTCTCTATTGTTTCTCCAGGAGATGAAATCGCTATTCATAGTCTCATATGTTTCTCCTGAGAAAAAGAGCCCATTAATCTCACACGTGTCTCCTCTAGAGTTTCGGAAGGGATCTCAACTATGTCTCAAACTGTGCTCAGATTTGCTCCGAAAGTCTCAATCAAATGTCAGAGATCTCAAACATTACATTCTCAAACATGATGACTAGTGCCTCATTTAGGCCTGTTTTAGGAGAAACATCTGAGACAAAGTTGGTACTTGAATGAAACGTAACTGAGACCTCTATGAAGTGAGATGTAAAAGAGCAACGTTTGAGCATTAAAATCTGTTTGTGTTTCAAACTAGACTAATAAACTCTTTCTCTCTGTCCAGCAGGTGAGCGATGCAGAATTTCATTGCGATCCGGCCGCTGTGCAAACATCTTAAACGAGATCTCTTTTGTCTCAGTTGTTTCTCCAGGAGATTAAATTGATATTTGTAAAGTCTCTGGCTTCTCATATGTTTCTCCTGAGAAAAAAGAGCCCATTAATCTCACGTGTCTCCTCTAGAGTTTCGGAAGACATCTCAACTATGTCTCAAACTGTGCTCAGATTTGCTCAAGATCCCAAAGTCTCAATCAAAAGTCTGAGATCTCAAACATTTCTTACCAAATTATCTCTATACTCTTACTGGATGATGACCAGGGATTCAGCTGGGCCTGTTTTAGGAGAAACATTGAAATGTAAGAAATGTAAAATCTCAACTTTGTCTCAAACTGTGCTCAGATTTGCTCAGAGATTTGTCAGACACTTCTGATGGGCGGCTTCAGGTGCGAGTGTCCTCCCGGAGGCTTCGAGAAGCCCTTCTGCCACATGAGCTCCAGGAACGTCCCTCCGCAGACCTTCATCACCTTCAAGGGTCTCCGGCAGCGCTTCCACTTCACACTCTCGCTGTCGTGAGTATTTGTCACCGAGATGAAGCTGTCAGCCGTGTTTGTTCGTTAGTCAGCGAGTCAATAACGCTTAATGAAGCTCCTTCTTCTGGATGTTTGCTCAGTGTCTCGGGAGCTTTTATCCGCTCGTCTCAGAGCATTATATAACATTATTCAGCGCTATTTGTTGCAAATATTTTTATACCCAAACGTCAGTGTGGTCGTGTTGATCTGTCCGTCTCGAATGGGAAAACAGATGCTCTGTCTGGATGCTCGGCTTTGCTCTTTTCTTTCTCTCTTTCTCTCATGCTTGTTTGCTGATGAATGCTCTGTCAGTAATCTGTTCAGCGTGTGTATAGACTGTGTGTTTTGCTCTGAGACGTTCAGGACTGATGAGGGCTTTTTAGCGCGGGTTTGCTCGGCACTGATTCTTGTGTTTCGAGGGATGTTTTCCGAAGGTTTAAAGGGTCATATTGTGAGTTTCCAGGACTCAAAACTCTCTTGAAACATTATCACGTAATGGTTCACATTTACACCGAGCATGAGTAGGAAGTAGGACACCAGGAGAACTAAGAAACTGAGTCGAAATATGATTTACATGTAGACGTCTTAAAGGCGCAGTGGCAAAAACAGACTGTCTTTTATTGTACGGATCAGAAAGAGGGTGTAAAGTGATCATGAGAGACACGATTATGGCCGTTTTTGTTGCTTGAAACCTCCAGGAATGTGATGAGAGGAGCTCGGGGAAGATATGAAATGTATGAAACGACCCCATTAACTGTGCCAGAGATAAAGGAGGATGTTGGGGTGATGCTGAAGGAGAAATGAAGGGTGTGTGTGTCTCTGGAGATGTGATTATTCTCCTCAGTAACCAGGTCAACAGCGCTAAACCCCACGGCAAAACCACAGTAACATCCACGAATACACCAGCACATCACACACACTCACAGATTTTAAGATTTAAGTGAATTTTGGTGTCATTTTTATATGCATTATTGCATTATTTCAAAAATACTGACTCAATAATTAATAATAATAATTATAAATATAAATTTTATTAATGGTACTAATTGAAGTAGCAGAAATAAAACAATTCATTTAATTAAATTTAATTTACAATCCACAAAACATGAATAAGCATTAAAACTAATTGTTTGATTTTGCTCTTGCTACATTTACATTGTATTGGTTTATCAGATGCTTTCATCCATCAGATGGGGAACGGAGTTTCTCCTCCTCTGTGTTTTCAGGTTTTATGTTCGTCTGCAGTGTAATAATAACAGTGTGGTGTTTTATTTTCGTCTGTTTCCTGCCGTTTGTGAGAGTTTGTTTGATTGGGTCTGTTTGGGCTGTCGTGTTCTCTCCTGCTGCTGCTCGCTGACCTACTTTAACTTTATAAATGTGAGACAGATACCTGTGAAGATCTGCTGCAGTCGCCGCGCATCACTATAGCAGATAGTCGCGGTTTGTTAGTGGTGTTGAGCTCAATCACTAGTACCAGTGCTGAGAGTGAGAGCAGAAGAGCACTGTGTTTGTGTGTGTGTGTGTGTGTGTGTGTGTATTTAATCTACTGATGTTACTCCAGCAGAAACACTGAGTTTAATCCACAAAGACATGTTTGGACTGTTAATGTGAACGATGGACTTAAAGATGTATCCACACACACACACACACACACTCACACTCACACACACTCACACACACACACACACACACACTCACTCTCACACACACACACACACACACACTCACTCTCACACACACACACACACACACACTCACTCTCACACACACACACACACACACACTCACTCTCACACACACACACACACACACACTCACTCTCACACACACACACACACACACACTCACTCTCACACACACACACACACACACACTCACTCTCACACACACACACACACACACACTCACTCTCACACACACACACACACACACACTCACTCTCACACACACACACACACACACACACCATTATAAGTGTCTCCTGTTGTTCCTGGTCTGGTAATTCTCTGTAAATCTGTTTTTTCTCCTGCAGGTTTGCGACTCGAGAGCCTGACGGTCTGCTGCTGTATAATGGACGCTTCAACCAGAAACACGACTTCATCTCTCTGGAGATCGTTAATGAACAGATCCAGCTCACATTCTCCGCAGGTAAACGCCAGAACCACACAGTCGTGTGTGAACCTGCAGCAAAAGCTCGATGTGAATTATCAGCTGATTCACTCGTCACAATGCTAAAATAACAAACATGACTTCATTGACCCAGATGTCACATGACACAGAAGCTTGTATCTTATTGGTTTTAATGTGTGTCAGTTGTTGAATGTGTGTGTATAATTCACCATCATGAACTTTTGAGCTGCAGGAGAGACGCAGATGACGGTGTCGCCCTTCATCGCGGGCGGAGTGAGTGACGGGCGCTGGCACACGGCACACGTGCACTACTACAACAAGGTGAGTCATGTGACCACAGGATGTGACATCGCCGCCGCACAGGAAGTGTCTTTCAAAGTCTTAAACGAAGTGTCTTTCATGGGTCTAATGTCTGATGAGAAGGGTTGCGTGAGTGAAATGTAGGTGTGTGTGTGTGAGAGTGTGTGTGTGTGTGTGTGTGTGTGAGTGAATGTGAGTGTGCGCGTGTGTGTGCGTGAATGTGATTGTGTGAGTGTGTGTGTGGTTTACCTTATTACTTTATGACCAGTAAGAATTTGTGACTCTCAGGCCCCGCCCCTGTGCTGCTCTGATTGGCTTGTTCAAACTCACAGCTTTGAGCTCCCACATGTGTGACCTGCAGCAGCCGGGTCAGCCTGAGAGGGGTCGTGACCTCTGTGTGATGAGATCATTCATTAAGCGAGGCTCATTGTGTCTGTTGGTGTTTGTTCGGGTGGAATCAGATGAACAGACAGAAATACACCACAGATAAAGATGAAGCTCCTCATACATCTGTCTGTCTTTACATTGATATTTTTTTATAAATATTAATTCTTTTAATATATACTTTATAATTAATCTTTTATGAAATATTTAATAGAATTATACATGTGATTTTTTTACTTTATACAAATATTATAATATAATATAAACTACTATATATTATCCATAATACGCTAGACAGATAAAAATACACCACAGATGAAGATGAAGCTCATCACTATCTGTCTGTGATGTATTTTTATGGTTGTGTTTGATGCAGCTGTTCTCTGATCGTCCCGTCTCTCTCTCTCTCTGTGTCTCTCTCTCTCAGCCCGTCCTGAACCGCGCGGGTCTCCCTCAGGGCCCGTCCGATCAGAAGGTCGTCGTGGTGATGGTGGACGACTGCGACACGTCAGTGGCGCTGCGCTTCGGTCACGTGATTGGAAACTATTCGTGCTCCGCCCAGGGCAGCCAATCAGGATCCAAGAAGTAAGAGCGCGAGTCTGATGAGCTCTAATCGCCGGTAATAGCGTGAGTGTGTAATGTTGCGTTTTTTTGCGGCAGGTCTCTGGATCTGACGGGGCCACTGCTGCTGGGCGGCGTTCCCAAACTCCCCGAGGAGTTTCTCGTCCGGAGCCGGCAGTTTGTCGGCTGCATGAAGGACCTGCGCATCGACCAGCGGCACATCGACATGGCCGGATTCATCGCTAATAATGGAACGCTAGCCGGTGAGGAGCTACCGGTGATTTATCGCGCTTCCTGTGACAGTGTTTTCCCGTAACGAGCGCATGATGTTGTTTTCCCAGGATGCTCGGCGAAACGTCATTTCTGCAGCACTAACCCGTGTCTGAACGGCGGCGGTTGTGTGAATCTGTGGGGTTCGTTCCGATGCGACTGTCCGCTGGGATTCGGAGGACGGAACTGCGAGAAAGGTGAGCGAGCGTCACGTGAGCCGCACGTCCGTTAGTGGTGGATCGGTCAGTAACCACACCTATCTGTCTGTCTGTCCGCAGTGATGCCCAACCCGCTGCGTTTCCATGGTAACGGGCTGTTGTCGTGGCGGGATCTGGCTGTCGTGGTAACGGTTCCGTGGCACCTGGAGTTCATGTTTCGCACGCGGCAGCCGACGGCGACACTGATACATATCAGTTCAGCACAACAACACAACCTCACCATACAGGTGCCGTTAAAAACATACTCCATATTCATACTGTTTTACAAATGAGGGCGTCATTAAACGGAGGTTTCACCAACTTGAGCTCTCAAACAGATATGAAGCATACACGGTTGAGCAGCTTCAGCAGCAGGTGCACAGACTGATTTTTTCATGTGTCTGCAGCGCCTCCTGCTGGCTGTGTGTGATATGACACCTTACACACACTAAACCGGAGTTTAACAGGCAGTTTTTGTTGTTATTAGATTTGAAAAACACCATAAATGTGAGTTGTTTTTTTTGTTCTATGTATTTGTATTTCCTATTGAAAGTTGGAGTGGGATATTGATAAAATAATTTATGCTTGCTTCATTCAATATTTTATATGAATATACTGTAATCTTATATATTATAATATGTATGATGAATTCTAGAGCATGTTTGATTGGACAGATGTTTGTGTAGTGCATGATGATGTCATCAATTAAATTCAAGTTTATTTGTATAGCGCTTTTCACGATACAAATCTTTTCAAAGCAGCTGTACAATATATGTTTCTACAATATATTAGTAGTAGCTTATCAGTGGTGATAATAATTACCAAGGGGCAACATGTATATTAAAAATAGCAGAGGACCTAGGACAGATCCTTGTGGCACTCCATATTTTACTGCTGATAATTGAGATGACTCCCTGTTTAAATTAACAAAATGGTAGCGATCGGACAGGTAGGATCTAAACCATCTTAAAGCCTGCCCTTGAATACCTGTATAGTTTTGTAATCGATCTATGAGTATGTCATGATCTATAGTGTCGAACGCAGCACTAAGATCAAGTAAAACTAGCAATGAGATACAGCCTTGGTCTGACGCAAGAAGCAAATCAGTGTTTATCTGGTCTGTGAATGATGAATGGACGTCACTGAGTGTGTGTGTGTGTGTCAGCTGAGGGAGGGTTACGTGTTGACGTCGCTTCAGCGCGGCGAGGACTCCACCGTGTCTCGTGTTGATGATGTCACAGTGAGCGACGGCCAATGGCATCATGTGTTGCTGGAGCTCCGAGGCCCTGTGGCGGGCGGCGTAACGGCGGCACTGAGCCTCGACCACGGCCTGTACACGGTCAGACACCATACGCTTGACCTCACCTTAAAATATTCAAATCTTTATTATGTTATAGTTTAATACAATTAAAATGTTTTATGAAGACTTTTATCATTTGAATTTATTTACGAATATAATGTAGACATAAGGGTGTGTGTGTGTGTGTGTGTGTGTGTGTGTGTGTGGCTTAACACATCTGTACAGCCCTGCCCTGTTCACTAAAACGTGCATATCTTCAAAGTGGACCCATTGTTTTAACGTCATCTTAAATACACAAAATATGACACTGCAGTTCATGTGGTGAACGTGGGGTCGGGCTGCAGTCTGCCGAACCCCTGCGGGTCGAACCCGTGTCCGGCTCACAGCGACTGCAGCGACGACTGGGACACACATTCCTGCAGATGCCACAGCGGTCAGTCCGATTATAGTGATCCATATCTGTGATTAGTTTTGATTACAATTTTAGTTAGTTGTATTTTTTACTTAATTGAAATATTTATTATTTATTTTGTTGTGTTTTTGTATTGTTTACACATGATAACAGGTTACTACGGCAACAACTGCAGCGACGCTTGCGCTCTGAACCCCTGCGAGCACCAATCAGCATGCAGCAGGAAGTCAAGCTCCGCCCACGGATACACGTGTAACTGTCCCAGCAGCTACTTCGGCCAGTACTGCGAGAAAAAGTACGAGTGTTTCCTGACGAGTGCAGAGATTCACGCCGCTGTGATGACGTGTGTGCTAACGTGTGTGTGTGTTCAGGACGGATCTGCCGTGTCCCCGCGGATGGTGGGGCGATAAGTCATGTGGTCCGTGTAACTGTGACACAGCTAAAGGATTCGACGCCGACTGTAACAAGACCAGCGGCGCGTGTCGCTGCAAGGTTTGATCAAACTTTATTGCTGTGTCTATAGTTAATGCTTTTAGTTTTGAAAATGTTTATTAAAACATAAATATAAATGATTAAATACTATGTTTTTGGTTAAATTGTATAAGTTTTTATTGTTTAGATTTTATATTATTTAATAAAATAATATTTATGTAGATTATTTTATTTTATGTTGTGTAATAAATTGTATATTTTATTAGATTATGCAGTGTATTAAACAATATAAAATTAAATAATTTAATAAAAATACATTATACAATTTATTAAACAGTATAAAATTATAATAATGTATTGTTGTTTAATTTTTATGTTGTTTAATAAATTGTAACGTTTATATTATATTCTTATTTTAACATTTTTTTTTTATCATACTATTTTAATTTTATACTCTTTAATAAACTATTTTTTCCCCGATTATTTTAATGTTATAAAATAAAATATATTATTTTTTATATTGTAATTAAACAAAAATTTAATTATAAAATAAAAATATTATATAATTCATTAACTTTTATATTGTTTAATGAATTTTTCAGTATTTTTTACTTTATTTTAATATTGTAATAAACAATTTTTTATTATTTTAATGTTGTTTAATAAATTATAAAAATATATTGTTTTTTACATCGTTACTAAACAAAAATGTAATTATAAAATAAAAATATTATATAATTCATTAACTTTTATATTGTTTTAGTACATTTTAAACTTCACTAAATTGTAATTTAATTTTTTTTATTCTATTTATATTATAAAATGTATATTATTCTATTAGTTTTTATATGGTGTAAGTTGTAAAAAATATTTTTATATCGTTTAATGAATTGTATAGTTTTTTTTTACTTTATTTTAATATTGTATTATCAATTTTTTTTCAGTTTTTTTTTATATTGTTTAGAATATTTTAGAATTTATTATTTTTATTATACAGTTTAATTTTTATACTTGACTGCTAGTTAGAGTGTTGTGTTAGCATCCAGTCATCCAGTTTTTTTTACCTAAAAAGCAGAAAAAATGGTCCTCATGTGACACAGATCACACCACACCAGTTGAATATGTGTGACCGTCTGTGTTGTAAAGGTAATGTGTGTGATTCTCTGGTCAGGACAATCACTTCCGGCCTGCGGCGAGCGTGGCGTGTCTGCTGTGCGACTGCTACGCCGTGGGCTCGTTCTCGCGCTCCTGCGACCCGGACAGCGGTCAGTGTCCGTGTAAGCCGGGTGTCATCGGGCGACAGTGTGACTGCTGCGATAACCCCTTCGCTGAGGTCTCTTCCAGCGGCTGTGAAGGTCAGACTCTCAGACACACACTCATCAGGCTGTCATGTGTGTCCCACAATCCCTCAGTAACGTGTGTGTGTGTGTGTGTGTGTGTGTGTTCAGTCATCTACGACAGCTGTCCGCAGGCCATGGAAGCAGGAATCTGGTGGCCGCGGACCAAGTTCGGTTTACCAGCGGCCGTCTCGTGTCTGAAAGGATCCATCGGTACGAATCAAACATTTCACACTCACAATGTTAATATAACAGTGTTTTTATGGTGAGAATGGTCACTTTATCAGACTAAATAGCTGTAAAGTTGCTGAGAAGGTTTTTTGAAGACTTTTGTGATTAGTTCAAGGTCATTTCCAGAAAAAAAAAACTTCAAACAGCGTTGTGTGAACAATAGCAGCTAATATAAACACATAAAGCTGCACATGTTCTGCCATGTTTAACATGGTTTAACTAGTGTGCTGTGTGACTTTACCTTGGTAAGAAGATAGATGTGCTTACAATTACATATTAGCATTTTACATCTTCATATGTGACTTAATCTAGCAGATACTAGTGTTGAAACAGCTTTTAATGGTAAATAATCTACAAAAACAGATTTTTTTCCCCAGCTTCAAAGTAAATTGTCATTTGTGTTAAAAAATATTTTAATGACGTTGTATTTGTTTGCAGAAAATGCAAATTATTATTATTATTAAATATAATTATTATAATAATTTATAATTATTATTATTATTTATTATCAATAAATAAATTATAATAATTTATTAATTAATTACATTATAATTTAGAACCTTTTTATTTATTTAATTATTATTAGTTAAGCAAACCCAGCAAGTCTTTTTGGTTTCACTTTAGTGAAATCTGCTAGAAAACTCTTGAAAATCAAGAAAATCATCTATTTAAAAAATATATATATATTACTTTTAAAGAGAGCTACAAAAAAGCATTATTTGTTTTTTTTGTCATATATTTTACTATTACTAATTTAATATTTTAATTATATTAATATTTTACTATTTTGGCTTTATATTTGTGTGCAGGAACTGCAAATTTGATTTATATATATTTGATGTAGTTTGTCCTTTACTATTGTAATGGCGTTGTATTTGTGTGCAGGAACTGCGATCCGTCACTGTGACGAGCACAAGGGCTGGCTGTCACCGAACCTCTTCAACTGCACATCTGTGAGCTTCAGTAAACTCAAGACACTGGTGAGAATCTCACGCCTCACACACACCTCTGGCGCTAGCTCCGTGCGTCCTCACCTGTGTTTTCGTGCCTGCAGTCAGAGCGTTTGGCACGTAACGCATCTCTGATGGACTCCAGTAACGTCCAGCAGACGGCGGCGCTGCTGCGTAACGCAACGAAGAACGTGAGACAGTTCTACGGCAGCGACGTGAAGATCGCGTATTACCTGACGCGCGCCATACTGCAGCACGAGAGCAGCCAGCAGGGCTTCAACCTCACCGCCACGCAGGACGTCCTGTTCAACGAGGTACGCGTGCGCAGCTGCAGCGCTAACATGCTACAACGTTGCGCAGTTTTGTTTTTTGAGTAAAGAAACCATGCATATTTCAGTTAGCTTGCCATTTAAATAATGCATAAATAACACGTAATGTGCAATTTGTTATTTTAATTAAGAAAACTAATTTGCATTTTAAAAGTAATGATTTATTAATAGTTACAAACTAAAAGTAGCGACTAACTACATTTTTACCATTGCAAACAATTTTCTTCTGAATGTAAAATTAAGAATTCCTGTTTAACAAAGTATGTATGCGCAGTGCTACAATTATCGCATGTTGCGCAATTTTTCTTGAGTAAGGAAACCATGCATACTTAAGTTATCTCATTATTTGGCACAGAATAATGTGTAACTAGTTATTTTTATTAAGAATACTAGTTTGCATTCTAAAAGTAATGTTTCTTAAGTATTTACGAACTAAAAGTAGTGATGCGACCAACTACATACATTTAGCTTTGCAAGCAATTTTCTCTCAGATGTAGCATTAGGAAGTCCTGTGTAACAAAGTATGCGTGTGCAGTTTTAGCGCTGATACGCTACAATTAACGCATGTTGCACAATTTTTCTTGAGTTAAGAAACACATTATTTCAGTATTATTAAATGCATTATTAAATGCGTTATTTATACATTTGTATACTTCGGCACAAAATAACGCATAATACGTACCTAGTTATTTTTATTAGGAATACTAGTCCGCATTTTAAAAATAGCGATTTTTAAGTAGTTACGAACTTAAAGTAGTGATGCAAACTACATTTTTAGCATTGTAAATCATTTTCTCTCCTTTGTAGCATTTAGACATGACTAATTTGAGTGAAAAATATAATTAATAATTATAACAGTTTATTATGATTTAAATTATATATATAACGTTTTTTATTAATTATTATTAGTGAAGTAAATCCACTTAAAAACAAGAGAAATGGAAATATTTGTAGATTTTATTTAAAGTTTTGCACCAGATTTACAGGAAATAATAGTTTATTTTTATTAGGAATACTAGATGTATTTTTTAAAGTGACGAAGTAGTTACGCACTAAAACAAGTTACGACATTTTTACTCTGTGATTGGTCACTGTGGCAGCACCTGATGCACGTGGGCAGCGCTATACTGTCGGCGGAAACGCGCGGACACTGGGAGCTCATCCAGCAGACGGAGGGAGGCACGGCCACACTGCTGCGACAGTTCGAGGAGTATACGAACACGCTCGCGCAAAACATGAGGAAGACCTACCTGAGCCCCTTCACCATCGTCACGCCCAACATCAGTCTGTTGTTTCATTTCTTCACTGATTTACATGCACACACCCTCCATCCAAACCCTGCCCTCTGCAAACCTGGACGTACAAAATGATTGATGTGCCAAGAGTGTTTCTGATTGGCTAAAGATTCGCAGGCCATGCCCACTCCCTCTTTTAGTCAGTAATATCGACGCATGATTTATCATATTACAACATTCACTGAAATCTGTCAAAGGTAGTAGTGACATTTTATTTGTGATATTTAAAAAAAAAAATCACATGCACTACCTTGACATTTGAGTTTATTTTTTATTCCATGGACTTTTATTTAAATAATAAAAAATGTACTGGAAAAGTTTTAGAGCTTAAAAATCAAGAGAAATAAGTGAAGTATCCGTAGATTTTATTTGGACTTTCACACCAGATCTACATTAACATCTATATGATTAATCTAGATACTACAAAACTACTGTTACTGTAAGTTAGCTAAAGTAGTGTTATTTGATATGTTTTTTATTTCATTTAGTTTGTCATTTACTTTGTGTTAAATGTTATTTTAGTTTGCAAACCTGTTTTGAATCAGTAGTTTTCGTGCCGTCTCATTCCAGTCATCTCCATCGATCGTTTGGAGAAGATGAATTTCGCCGGCGCTAAACTGCCGCGTTATGAGTCTCTGCGCGGGCCACGCCCACTCGACCTGGAGACGGCTGTCACTCTTCCCGACTCGGTCTTCATCCCCGCCCCCGAGGGCAAAGGTCAGCGGCATCACAGCGAGCCAATCGCAGAGTCCGGCAGAAACCACACAGCCAATCGGAAGAAACGGCACCCGGATGAGCGCGAGCAGGACGCCGTTGCCAGCATCATCATCTTCCACAGCCTAGCGGCGCTGCTTCCAGAGCGATACGACACCGACAAGAGGAGCCTCAGGTGAGACCAGACCAGACTAGACTAGACTAGACCAAACTAGACCAGACTAGACTAGACCAGCCCAGACTAGACTAGACTAGACTAGACTAGACAAGACCAGACCAGACTAGACTAGACTAGACCAGACCAGACTAGATTAGACTAGACCAGACCAGACCAAAATAGACCAGACCAGACTAGACTAGACCAAACTAGACCAGACTAGACTAGACCAGCCCAGACTAGACTAGACAAAACTAGACCAGACTAGACTAGACCAGACCAGATTAGACTAGACCAAACTAGTCCAGACCAGACTAGACTAGACTAGACCAAACTAGACCAGACCAGACTAGACTAGACCAAACTAGACCAGACCAGACTAGACTAGACTAGACCAGACCAGACCAGACTAGACCAAAATAGACCAGACTAGACTAGACTAGACTAGACCAGACCAGACCAGATGAGACATTCACAGATTCATTGATTGATCTAACGCTGTGTGTGTGTATGTGTGTATAGGGTTCCCAAGCGTCCGGTCATCAACACTCCTGTGGTCAGTATAACAGTTCATGATAATGAGGAGCTGCTGCAGCACACGCTGGATAAACCCATCACGGTGCAGTTCCGCCTGATGACCACTGAGGAGCGCTCTAAACCCATCTGTGTGTTCTGGAACCACTCCATAGTGTGAGTACACACTCACATGTGTGTGTAGCGTGTAGATATGATGTAGGTGTTTGTGAGCTTGTGTTGTGTTGTGTGTGCAGCGCTGGCGGTCCGGGCGGCTGGTCTTCTAAGGGTTGTGAGGTGGTCTTCAGGAACAACACACACATCAGCTGTCAGTGTTACCACATGACGAGCTTCGCCGTGCTCATGGACATCTCACGCCGAGAGGTGACACAACTCAACCTAACCTAACCCAACACTAACCTGATCAGAATTACATTAGTAACAGAGGGTTGGTCTCTGCTAACTTGGGGCAGTATACCTTATACCTGTACGTCCCTAGTAACTACTGAAAACACCCTAGAAACTGCTAAGCAACCACACAAAACAACACCAAGAAAACCCTACCAACTGCTTAGCAAAACCCTACCAATCACCCAGGACACCCTAGCAACTGCTTATCAACCATATAGCAATGCCCTAGCAACTATCCAGAAAACCCTAGCAACTGCTTATCAAGCACATAGTGATACCCTAGCAACCACTCAGAAAACCCTAGCAACAACCACTGAGAACAATGTAGCAACTGCTTATCAACCATATAGTAATGCCCTAGCAACTACCCAGAAAACCCTAGCAACACCCTAGCAACTGCTTATCAACCACATATCAACACCTTTTGCAACTATCCAAAACACATAGCAACACTCTAGCAGTCATTCAGAAACCCCTACCAAATGCCTAGCAACACCCCAGCATCCACCCAGAACTCCCTAGCAACTCTCTTACAACCACATAGCAATGCCCTAGCAACCACCCAGAAAACCCTAACAACAACCACTGTAGCAACTGCTTATCAACACACTAGAAATCATACAGAACACCCTAGCAACTGCCTAGTAACCACATAGCAATGCCTTAACAACCAGCAGGAAAACACTTCCAACAACCACTGAGAACATTCTAGCAACTGTTTATCAACCATACAGCAATGCCCTAGCAACTGCCTAGCAGCACCCTAACAACTGCCTAGTACCAACATAGCAATTCCCTAGCAACCACCCAGAAAACCCTGCCATCAACTGCTGAGAACACCAAAGAAACTGCTTACCAACCACATAGCAACACCCTAGAGATCACCCAGAAAACTAGCAACTGCTTAGCAACCACATAATAATGCCCTAGCGATCCGTCTGAACACCCTAGTAACTTTTAAGCAACCACTTAGCAACACCCTACCAACTCCCTAGTAATCACTCACAAAACACTACCAACTGCCTAGCAACCACTGAGAACACTGTAGCGACTGTTTAGCAAGCACATAGCAACGCCCTAGCAACCACCCAGAAAATTCTAACAGCTACCTAGCAACCACTTAGCAACGCCCTATCAACCACCCAGAAAATTCTACCAGCTACCTAGCAGCCACTTAGCAACACCCTAGCAACCACTCAGAACTAACCTTGTCAAATCCGATGACTAGTTCTTCCTCTGAAAATGAGTTTCATCTCTTCTGGTCAAGTCAGGTACCAGTTACTTCCTGTCTACGTTCTTGGTACTTCCTGGTCTAGACTTATTGTATCTTTAAAGTCATTCAATCAGATCCTTTTTTTAGTGTTAATACGCAGCAATCTGAGGCTGAATAGATCTTGATCCTGATTTGGAACACGGACGGCCGAAGTATACTTTGCGCTGAAAGTTTGAATGAATGAGTGTGTCTTTTAGAACGGAGAGATCCTGCCGGTGAAACTGATCACGTGGAGTTCGGTGGGTGTGACGCTGGGCTTCCTCTTCCTCACCATCGTCTTCCTCACCTGCCTGCGGGCCGCGAGCAGCAACAAGACCAGCATCGTCAACAACGGCGCGGCCGCGCTCTTCATCGCGCACCTCCTCTTCATCTTAGGCATCAATCAAGCCGATAACCCGGTAACACGCACTTCCTGTCTGTCTGTGTGACGTGAGCGTGTGGAATGGTGCGTGATGCCCGTCTGTCTCCCTGCAGTTCCTGTGTACGGTGATGGCCATCCTGCTGCACTTCCTCTGGCTCTGCGTCTTCTCCTGGCTCTTCCTGGAGGGGCTGCATGTGTACCGCATGCTGAGCGAGCTGCGCGACATCAACTACGGCCCCATGCGCTTCTACTACCTGATTGGCTGGGGAGTGCCGGCCTTCGTCACGGGTCTGGCGGTGGGACTGGACCCCGAGGGCTACGGGAACCCCGACTTCTGCTGGCTCTCGCTCTACGACACCCTCATCTGGAGTTTGGCGGGTCCCATCGCGTTCGTCGTGTCGGTGAGTGTTCACGTCCGTTTGCACACTTCTGCTAGTATGTACTGAGTTTGAAAGTGTCTGTTTCTCTCTCAGATGAACGTGTTCCTGTACATCATGGCGTCGAGAGCATCGTGTTCGCTCAAGCAGAAGAGCTGCGAGACGAGAGACGTGCCGGCGTGAGTCTCGTTCACACTGAATCCTGAAGTGTGTGAGTGTGTGTTTGTTAAAGTGTGTGTGTGTGTGTGTGTGCAGGGCGGGTCTGCGGTCAGCGTGTGCTGTGATGCTGCTGGTGACGGTGACGTGTCTGCTAGCGCTGCTGTCGGTCAACAGCGACATGATTCTCTTCCACTATCTGTTCGCCGGATTCTGCTGTGTTCAGGTACTGTGAAGCTGCTTAGCAACCGCCTAGCAACGCCCTAGTAGCGCCTGTCACTTGGGTTCCGATGTGATTGCGTGTGTGTTTGCGTTTCAGGGGCCGCTTCTGTTCTTCTTCCGCGTGGTGTTTAATAAAGAAGCGAGAGACGCCATGCGCTACTGCTGCAGCAAGAAACGACCCGATCACATGATCAAATCCAAACCATCCGTGAGTCTGAGAACAACACTGTTATAAACAACATCAGACTCAAAACAACTAATTACCATTGGTTTTATTTGTGGTGCTGCATTGAGCTATAAATTGTAAACACTATCCGAGAATACAAAACTATACAAAGCTATAGAAAAAATTAAGACTACTTGAGGGTTTGAGTGAAATGTTAATATTTGTTTTATTCTGTAAAGGTCTGATAACATTTCTTCCAATTAGATTTTTTTTGTTTGTTTTTTCGACAATTGGTCAAAATAACAAATGTTGCTTTGATTGAAAATCAGGGTTATTCCACCAAATATTGATTTCTTAACTCTTCTGAAGTTAAAACATTGGTATTGTTGTTTTTATAAAAATTAATATAAACAAGTCTGAAAACATCACATCTTTTTTTTTTGACCAATTGTCAAAAAATGATAACATTTTTATTTAAAATTGGGAAGAAATGTCATCAGTAGTTTACAGAAAACAAAAATTATGTTTTACCTAAACACATAACTATACATTTTCAAGAATTTTCAAGTGATCTCTTCATTTTTTCCAGAGCTATATATATATTTGTATTTAGATTTCATATGTTTAGATTCATTATTCATTCATATTATTGCATACTATTTGTGCATTTTTAATTTTTTCAAATAATTTATTTATTTATTTACAAATGACCATGTTAACATTTTATTTGTCAAATGCACAATGCAGCATTGCTGTACAAAATACAAAACAATTTATTCATATTTTGTCATTATTATTAATATTATATATAATTTTATTTATACATATATGCATTATGTTTTCTTTTTTTTTTTTTTATTATTTCCTCG